AAATCACTCACTACGAAAGCAAAAGACTTGGCAGACGATGCAACATCCCCCCAATGAAAAGCAGGGGTGTCACTACCACGTTAAGAGACCATACAATAAGTGTCAGGGGTCCGAGACTGTTCAACTGCCTCCCAGCATACATAAGGGGGATTACCAACAGACCCCTGGCAGTCTTCAAGCTGGCACTGGACAAGCACCTAAAGTCGGTTCCTGACCAGCCGGGCTGTGGCTCGTACGTTGGTTTGCGTGCAGCCAGCAGTAACAGCCTGGTTGATCAGGCTCTGATCCACCAGGAGGCCTGGTCACAGACCGGGCCGCGGGGGCGTTGACCCCCGGAACTCTCTCCAGGTAAACTCCAGGAAAGGTCACACTACATATACATATATATATATACTTCTACTTACACTAAGGTCACACTACATATATATATACTTCTACTTACACTAAGGTCACACTACATATACATATACTTCTACTTACACTAAGGTCACACTACATATACATATACTTCTACTTACACTAAGGTCACACTACATATACATATACTTCTACTTACACTAAGGTCACACTACATATACATATATTTCTACTTACACTAAGGTCACACTACATATACATATACTTCTACTTACACTAAGGTCACACTACATATACATATACTTCTACTTACACTAAGGTCACACTACATATACATATATTTCTACTTACACTAAGGTCACACTACATATACATATACTTCTACTTACACTAAGGTCACACTACATATACATATACTTCTACTTACACTAAGGTCACACTACATATACATATACTTCTACTTACACTAAGGTCACACTACATATACATATATTTCTACTTACACTAAGGTCACACTACATATACATATACTTCTACTTACACTAAGGTCACACTACATATACATATACTTCTACTTACACTAAGGTCACACTACATATACATATATTTCTACTTACACTAAGGTCACACTACATATACATATACTTCTACTTACACTAAGGTCACACTACATATACATATACTTCTACTTACACTAAGGTCACACTACATATACATATACTTCTACTTACACTAAGGTCACACTACATATACATATACTTCTACTTACACTAAGGTCACACTACATATACATATACTTCTACTTACACTAAGGTCACACTACATATACATATACTTCTACTTACACTAAGGTCACACTACATATACATATACTTCTATGTGTATACTCGAAGATCTTAATTTTCTTCTCTTTTGTTAATAGTTCTTATTCTTATTTATTTTATTTCATCTCCATGGGGAAGTGGTTCAGGTTTGTGGTTCATACGTTAGATTGCGTGCGGATAGTAGTAACAACCTGGCTGATCAGGCCCTGATTCATCGTGATGGCCTGGTCATGAACCTGGCTGCGGGGATGTTGACCCCCTGGAACACCCTCCGGGTAAGAAGACACAAGATAGTAATCAACATGTATTATTAAATTATCCAATTCATGGGGGGAGTGAGAAGTGCTACACCCTAAGGGAGGACATACTGCCCAACCCTCCCCTGGAGGGTAAGGAATGGAAGGCACTCAGCCTAGATTCAAGGATGCGGAGAACAGGTGCAGTTCCTTCAATCAAGAGCCCCTCCAACAGCATCAAGGAATGTACGAATGGTGTATAATACCGACAAGATGAGAGTAAGACACATGTGCAACATCTGGGAATCTCCACGACTATGGTGCTGTTCGCACCTACTCCTAGGTTGAGGGACTGATTACCTCATCTTCTGTACATAGTTCTATTGTCTTCAAGTTATGTCCTGGAATTTGTATTGATAAAGCCACTGGATGGCGAAACGTCTACAATAAAGATACCCAGATGTTGCACATGTGTCTTACTCTCAGCATCAAGGAACCTCACTTGAAGGGGCAGTAATAAGAGGTAATATTATTAAGAGTATTACTTCATATACTCTCAAGATAGTAAATTATTCCCTCATTCAATATTATGATCGTGGTGTTCCATCTCACCGGCATAATATTCACCTTTATTCATTACTAAGACTTAGTGACCAATTTTTGTTTACATGAAATGCCCTTGTAAATAATAATAATAATAATAATAATAATAATAATAATAATAATAGTAATAATAATAATAATAATAATAATAAAAACAAGAGGAAAATGAAAAGGAAGAAATAATAGAGAATTTTGGTGTTCTCCTAACAAAATGACACCAGTAGAATGTTCTCAGTCCAGGGTGGTGCTCATGTATTCTTCACTGATAATTCACACTTGGTGTTGACATTTGTGTTTATCACTCTTATATTCCTGGATTGGAACGTGGGGTCTCCCATGGTGTTCACTATAGTTTGGGACGAAGGGCCTCCCATGGTGTTCGTTATTGTTTGGGACGAAGAGCCTCCCACGGTGTTTATTATAGTTTGGGACGAAGGGCCTCCCACGGTGTTCATTATTGTTTGGGACGAAGGGCCTCCCATGGTGTTCATTATTGTTTGGGACGAAGGGCCTCCCACGGTGTTCATTATTGTTTGGGACGAAGGGCCTCCCATGGTGTTCATTATTGTTTGGGACGAAGGGCCTCCCATGGTGGTCATTATTGTTTGGGACGAAGGGCCTCCCATGATGCTCATTATTGTTTGGGACGAAGGGCCTCCCACGGTGTTCATTATTGTTTGGGACGAAGGGCCTCCCATGGTGTTCATTATTGTTTGGGACGAAGGGCCTCCCATGGTGGTCATTATTGTTTGGGACGAAGGGCCTCCCATGGTGGTCATTATTGTTTGGGACGAAGGGCCTCCCATGGTGGTCATTATTGTTTGGGACGAAGGGCCTCCCATGATGTTCATTATTGTTTGGGACGAAGGGCCTCCCATGATGTTCATTATTGTTTGGGACGAAGGGCCTCCCATGGTGTTCATTATTGTTTGGGACGAAGGGCCTCCCATGGTGTTCATTATAGCTTCGGACGAAGGGCCTCCCACTGTTTTCATTATAGTTTGGGACGTGGGGCCTCTCACTGTTGTTCTTGTCTTTGGGGATGTTTTTTTGGACGTCATCTGCGGTGGTCAGCTTTCCTTCCTGGCTGGACCCGACCTCTAGTGTCTTGTCAGCTTCATGCTGAACCTTCCCACAATGTCCACGACCTTTCCTACGCCGGGAGAAATTATTCTACTCAGGGAGAGAATATTTCTTGTCACAGAGGGGCATGTTGTTGGGAAGGGGTTTAGTGTTGGGAAGGGGCTTGGTGTTGGGAAGGGGCTTGGTGTTGGGAAGGGGTATGGTGTTGGGAAGGGGCTTGGTGTAGGGAATGGGCTTGGTGTTGGGAAGGGGCTTGGTGTTGGGAAGGGGTTTGGTGTTGGGAAGGGGCTTGGTGTTGGGAAGGGGCTTGGTGTTGGGGAAGGGGCTTGGTGTTGGGAATGGGCTTGGGGTTGGAAGGGGTTTGGTGTTGGGAAGGGGGTTTTGGGGTTGGGAAGGGGGTTTTGGTGTTGGGAAGGGGCTTGGTGTTGGAAGGGGCTTCGTGTTGGGAAGGGGTTTGGTGTTGGGAAGGGGCTTGGTGTTGGGAAGGGGTTTGGTGTTGGGAAAGAGATTAGTGTATTTTTTTGTACCTCTGTATGTGTGCACAAATTTATAATAAATAAATAAATAAATAATAAATGGAAGATTCTGGTGTTGGGAAGGGGCTTGTGGTGGGGAGGGACTTCATGTTAGGGACGGGGTTGGTGTTGGGGAGGGGGAATGGTGGTGGGTGGAGGTTGGTGTTGAGGAAGGGTTTTGGTGTTGGTGAGGGGTTGGTGTTGGGGGGGGGCTTGGAGTTGGGGAATCATTTTGAGTTGGGGAATCGTTTTGAGTTGGGGAATTGCTTGAAGTTGGGGTATCGTTTAGAGTTGGGGAGGAACTTGTCGGAGGGGAGGGACTGGTCGACAGGGAGGTGCTGGTCGACGGGGAGGGACTGGTCGAGGGGGAGGGACTGGAGGGGCTTGGTGCTTTGGAACCGTTTGGAGTTAGGGGATCGTTTGGAGTTGGGGAATCGTTTGAAGTTGGGATATCGTTTAAAGTTGGGAAGGGATTTGTCGGTGGGGAGGGACTGGTCGACGGAGAGGGACTGGTCGATGGGGAGGGACTGGTTGATGGGGAAGGACTGGTCGACGGAGAGGGACTGGTCGACGGGAAGGGAGTGGTCGACAATGAGTTAGTTTAATATGTTTATTATGCACCCCATACCCATCCTGTGGGCGGTAGTCAAAAGATTACAGAGGGACATAATTTAGGGT